GAGATGACAGCCACACCTAAAAGCAGAATCTCTGATGTGAAGAGAAAAAAAAACCAAAAAACTGAAATTGTTCACTACAGATTAGTAAGCAAGCACAAATAAGCCTCTTCTTATCTTGCTTATTAGATAATCAATCTGAGCTTGTCCAGAAGTCATGCTATCAGGTCCCTGTTCTCTGACATCAGGCAGAGCTGTAGAAATAAATTTACAGTCTCTGGTGCAAAACAGGACTCTCTTTTGTCCCGCAGAACCAGAAACAGTACAATTAGGAACCCTACTGGAAGCATAGTGCCTAAGGCACTTGACTGCTAACCAGAAGGCTGGCGGTTCAAACCCACCAGCCACTCCTGGAAGGAAGATGCAGTAATCTACTTCCGTAGTGATACTGCCTCAGAAACCCAAGGAGGGGTCGCTATGAGTCAGGGCCGACTCGACGGCACATAACAACAACACTGGAACAGAAGCCTTCTGGAGGAGGTTGGAGAAGGAGACTTGGGCCCCCAAGTCTTACAGTGACAGCTTGAACTGATCCCTCACATTCTGGACCCAACCAGATGAGCACTGAGAGCTCAGTATTTGGAGGATAAAAAAAGAGCAACAGATATACAGTAACTTAGTAAATCTTGGGCCAGATCCAGGACAATGCCTGACATTTGTTTATCTGCAGAGAAACTGAAGTAAAGGAGGGGAATGTCTCCCTAAAAGTCACTGTGTTATAAAAGTGTCCTTCAGGAAGAGGCTCCATGAACAGGGCAGCTGATAACATTAATACTGTGCAGGCACACATCTCGCTACACCCCCTGGGAGTGCTAACCCAAGTGTTACTAAATGAACTGGCAGGAGCACAGCCCTGCAGTCTCCACAGCTGCTGTCCTCAGAGGGAGGCTCTCAGACAAAGCAGGGCGGCTTCTGCAAGGGGGGAGGGGCCTTCTCTTTGTTCTTCCTGGGAAAGAGGGCTCGCTCTCCTCTGCACCTCAGCTGCTTTCACCTCTTGCAGGAGGGCAAAATAAATTAATCGCCAATATTGCACATAACAATAACAATTGTTTTGGACAGCATATTTCTTGAGTCTTAAACTCTGTGAAATGCAGGGTCAGACTACTTCTAGACTGCTAATGTGCTGCAAAGATTTTATTCTGGGTTTCTGGGCAAAAATTTCAGAAAGGTGCCCTTCTTCAGCCAATAAAAATTAAAAGATCTCCTTTCGAAGGGAATGTCAAGACATACTGTTTTGAATGGTACTTATAATAATTACATGGCATGCACCTAAAACTTAAGAATCTCTTCTTCACAAAGAGGTGATTTAATGAGTAAAATTGTCTGCTAAAAATCCCTTCATCAGTAAAAGACATTGGACACTTAAAGATGATTAAAATGGCACATGTTTTGATATATATGCATATTTTTATCACAATACAATTTTTTCTAAAAAGAGCTGAGAAATCTCACCTTTTCACATTGTAAGGAATTTTTGCTCATAAGAATGAGTGAACATAACCACTTTTTTAAAAATTCAGAATTGCCTGTTTCTGATGAGTTAAGGGTAGAATTAAGACAAAGGGTCCTTCACTGTCATCTTAGGAACAGGCATGCCACTCCCAAAGCACGCCAAGCAGCTGCTGCCTGGACTGATTCTTAAACCTAAAACCATGCTTGGCTTTGCTCTCGACAGCTGAGGTGGTCTTCTGTGTTCAATTGGCATTTCAGTTTGGGCCGGCTGGAACAGGTCCACACCAGAACAGAAAATGGCCTCAGTGAGGTAGAGAAAACTAACTAGGCAGAGAAGGATTAGATTTGCATTTTTTAATCACTACAGGCTTATTTCCTGGGAATTTACCATGAAATAAGTCAGTTTCAATCCCTTCCCACAGCATCTCAGGCTTTCTAATACAGTTCCTACTCTTCTGGATTTCATCTGCCTGTTAAATATCAATTCATATTGTGTCCAGAACTGAGTATTTTCATGTTTCTAAGCAACTGAGCCTCTCAGCCAGCTCACTGTCTCTTTCTTTTTGGCACTGTCAGGAGGCAATGAGAGCAGTCCCTAACCAGGAAATGAGGTCGTATTAGTATTTGGGGGAGAGAGGATCTGATGACTCAAGTTCTATAAGTGAGTCCCAGGCAAGCTTCGAAAATAATTCTGAAGCTAGACAAGGAACAAATAAGCAGGTATTAAAGGATTATATGCTTTTGTAATGAACAGTTTATATAAAATAGCTACTGGACATGTATACTTGTAATACTACTTTGTATTTATGTTATTAGCTATTATTCAGGGAGTGTATTACAGAGTGCCTTCCATCTGACAGGCTCAAAGTCCTTTTCAGTGCATATTCCTCATATATTAAGGCACTTCGATTTTATGAAGTATAAGCACTTTGAGGGCAAGACCTGTCTTGCTCTCCACTTCCTTTATATCTCATACAGTACCCAGCAGGGTATTAGACATGCAGTAGGTACTCAGGAAATATACACCTTTAAAATATATATATATATATATGGAATAAAGGAACAATTAATGACTGCTCCAATCCTGAGATTGGGCCTGTCTTTATGTTACCTATCGGTCTAAGAAAACTGAGTAGTGGTACTTTATAGAAGAAAATGAAATAGAGATGTTGTATCTCGAATAATAATGATGCCAGCAGCTGACATTCAGTTAGTGATCTTATATGCTAGAAACTGTACTAAGTCCTTTAAGACATCATCTCTAACCTTCACAACAACCCTACAAGCTAACTACTACTATTATTACTACCTTTATTTTACATATGAGAAAACATGCCCAAGTCACAGAACTGAAAAATAGCTACATGAAGACTTGAATCCAGGTATCACTTATGTTTCCAAATCCATGCTTTTAGGCACAATCCTATACTACCTCCCTGAAAATACCAGAATATCTAGTAATGATGCTCATAACCCCATTTACTAACCACCCTTGTTTGAGAAATTGCCCCACAACATAGTATCTGAAGTGGGAGGGTAAGCAAGGGAAAAGGATAAGCACAAACAATTTATAATTTATAAATCTCAATATGCACGGTTTGATGTTTCTAGGTGTTATCTCATTTATTCCTCACAGCACCCTGTGAAGTAAGTTACTACTATTTCTTATACGTAAGGAATACATCTCCGGAGAACTGGTAGGTTTAAAAAAGTAAATACTAAAGTATTTACATGTTGTGAGAAGAGACCATTCCCTGGAGAAGGATATCATGCTTGGTAAAGTGGAGGGTCACAAAAAAGGGGAAGGTCCTCAACAAGATGGATTGACACAGTGGCTGCAACAATGGGCTCAGGTACAGCAAGGACTGGGAGGCTGGTGCAGGACCAGGCAGTGTTTCATTCTGTTGTACATAGGATCGCTATGAGTTGGAACACCTAACAACAACAAAAGTATTCAGAGGTAGAGGGGTAGGGAATCTATTGCCATCACTGAGCTGGCCTGCCCTAGGCCTCTCATTTCAAATCTCAATGCTATTATGTTGTTCCCTATCTTTCCTTCCTTCCTTAAACATTGTTATTAATACTCCAACCAACCATAAAGCTTATGCCTGTCTCTACTTGCCTTATATATACAAATATGGTTAAATGTTTACTTGCTGTGCCATTAAGCCATTTTAAAAGCACAGACCAGGTAAAGAGGAAACAGTAAAAAGTGTGCTTTGTAACAGTTAAAAAGGACAAATTAGATTAAAATGTACTGCCAAGAAAAGATATCCAAAGCATAGTATTTTTTTTTTTTTTTTAAAGCAAGCTGTGGAACAAAAAGCACAGCATGACACCATTTATGTTTTAAAAAGTTGCACAAAACAATATGATACACACACACACATAAACAGTTGGTTATAACCCAAATTGGTAACAGTGGTTTCTCTGGGGAATGGAACTGGGTTTGCGTGGAGGTGGGCAGTACTGATGGATTTTTCTCTATCTTTTACAAGATAATTTATTCATGAAATATGTACATAAAAGAAATAAAGGACAAAGAAAAAACAAATGATGTTGCTTGAAAATAAAAGGCTAATAATATTCATGTAAAATGAGATGAATGATACAAATACACCAAGCTAAAATCTACCCCTGGGTGCACATCCATAAAAGACCAAGAAATTAAGAGAGTTCTCATATTGACGTTACTATAATGAATTTAATGGATGTTAAAGTTTGTCTCCTGCCTCTACCAGAAATACAGTGGTGAGAAGTACACTAGACTTGGGGACAGACAGCCTGGTTCAAGGCCTGTCTCTGCCTCTAATTTCTCAGGCTTCTTGGACTAATTTCTCAGGGCTTTAGTTTCTTTATCTGCAGAGTAGAAATAATTATAACATCCTTCACAGGGTACTGTGAGGGTTAAATGAGATAATGCATAAGACAGAGCATTAAGACTATGCATAGTGAGACTTGGAAATTATAAATTGTGTTTGTGCTTACTCTATCTTCTCTCTTTCATCATCTCACTTGAGATCATTATTTTTCCTCACACTTTCAAGATATCTAAACGTCTCATATTGAGGTAGTTAAATTAATAAGCCATTTGTCTTCAGTATAATAATTGCTGACAACAGATAAACTTCCCTTATTAGAGACTTCAGGTTATGCAGATGCAAAATTTTTAAGCTCCAAATCTGTATTCCTGTATTTATTTTAAGGAATATACTTACTTGATTCAAAACTGAAACCCAGTTTTGACATAAGAACTAAAGTATCTAAATCAGAGAGGCCATTTAAATTATAAATGAAAAATAAAAAAATTACTGGTGTCTTAAAATGTATTTTGTCTGTGGTCCCACTAAAATTTCACGCTGTTACGAAATTTTAAGAATTGAATGATAAATCTTATGATAAAATAGTTACACAAATAATAAAACACTAATGCCACCGATAAAATTATACACAAAAGAGAAACAGGAACAAATGAATAAATATCAGTTGTATGTATACAGCACCATGTCCAAGTCACACAGGACATACCTATTTTCAAATTACAGCCTCACCTTTGAAACAGAGCCAGGTTCTCTTCTGCTTCTACTGGATATGTGTGTGTTAAAAGCGCAGGGACCTGGAGATTTCTGATGAAGTAAACAAGATCCAGTTGAGATATTTGCAGTTTGAGTTCAGCAAGGATTCATTTGAAGGAACCAATTCCAAGCACACAAAGCACACATCCCTCCCAAGCTCCTCCATCCCATTAAACTGGGTTGTCATTTTAGAGCTGGGTGCCCATTGTTCACTTTCTTCTACTCTAATTAGATTTGACAGATTGCGCTTTCTGGCTAGACTGGCTGTTGCCAAGAACTAAGAGAAGAGAGGAGGTTGACCTTGTCATTATGCCCTTGGGATCAGTGCCCCTCTCCCAAGCCCACACATCGCCAGAATGCACCCCAGCAGCTTTAAATCTGTTCTCCTTCTCCCCCAGCCTTTTTCCTACGTGCCTCGTGCATCTTAGCACAACTGCTTTTTCTCACTTTCAATAATGTGAGAGTCAAAGTCTCAGTGGGCTATGGGAGTGGAGTAAGTGGTGCTCTAGTATTTTTCATAACAGTGCTCTGACCTTTGTTTTGTTCTGGATGCCTGGGGGTAAGGGGAGGAAAACAGATCAGCTTTTCCAAAGGGAAAGATGCTGCAGTCCGCCCTGGAGTGAGGAAATATTGATCACTTAATGAACAGAGTTCGGAAGGATTCAGGCTCTGGCTCTATCTCCGTGTCTGCAGCAAATCACTTTTCCTACTGCCTTTTGTTTCCATACGTGCAAAATGTTCTCAATAATCCTTGAAGCCTTACTGTATCAAAAATATGTTATACTGGTAATATGTTAAGAATTAGGTCATAAAATGATAGCTCTGGAAAGAGTCTTGTAGATTTGTCTTGTCCAGTCTTTTCATCTGGGAGATTAAAAAATGTAGACCGACAAAAGGAGGTGACATGCCCAGTGTTGTGAAATTAGTTAGTTAAATGCATGGCACTGAACAATAGCCTGCTAATCAGCTTGCCTGTCACTAACCTTTCTTTTCCCAGCTTATTCTATGCTTGATAATAAACCATATTGATCAGGAAAGCAACTTTCTTTCTCCACAGAAGGGATTCTCCTCACTCCAGAAATATTTCAGAAATGCTTCCCTTTATGGAAAATGCAATGATCCTATAATAGAACCTGAGTCACCAAATGCCACATGACTCTCTTAGGGACACAGGCAGAACTGAACAGGCTGGTGGTCTGGGCCCTGCTACTCTAGAGGAACGTCTTTGTCCCTGACGTAGGTCTGTCTGTGCCGGTGGCCAGTGGCCTCAAGAGCTGTGAGCAGGAATGACTGCTAAAAAGTTCTCAAAAGAAACATAGTGTTTCCCAAATTGTAATGTATATCCATTCATTTATTATTTATTCACCTACTCACAGGCATTTAAAAAAACCCCATTATTTGCTAAGTGCCTGCAGGCTGATAAACCCACCAGCCACTCCTCAGAAGGAAGGTTGGGCAATCCTACTTCCGTAGTGATATCACCTCGGAAACCCAAGGAGGGGTCGCTATGGGTCAGGGCTGACTCTATGGCATATAACATAACATAACATAACATAACATAACATGCAGGCTGATAAGACTACTACAATGAGTAGGACCTAGCGTCTAGGGGGTCTCAGAAAGAGCCTGCAGTGTAAATACTCCTATGCAGGGGAGCACTGTAGGGGGCATGATGAAGGGAGGAAATAGTCAATTTTCCTTGGCTGGGATTCAAGGAATCAGAAAACTGCCACAGAAGAGGTAATACTTGAACTGAGATTTGGGGAATGGGGGTGGGGGTGGTATATTCCAAGGGGAAAGGATGTGAATCTATGACATTCCAGATACAGAGGTTTGCAGGAGCCTGGTGTTTGAGGGAAAACAGTTTTGGGCCTGCTGGTACCAGGAAGCACCAACCAAAGATGAGACTGGAAATTTAGGTAGAGATCAGTGAAGATGTTATATGACAAAGGAAGGAGTTTGGATTTTATCCTGGTACTCTAGGAAGGGAGCTCTGATGGCCTAGTGCCTAAGGCATTTGACTGCTAACCAGAAGATTGGTGGTTCAAACCCACCAGCAACTCCTTGGAAAGAAGGTTGGGCAAGCTACTTCCATAGTGATACCGCCTCGGAAACCCAAGGAGGGGTCGCTATGAGTAGGATCCAACTCCACGGCCATGAGTCTGGTTTTTGGTAGCTCAAGGAAACCACTGAAGAATTTCAAGCAGGGAAGTAACTTGATCCAAACAGCATTTTAGAAAGATGACTCAGATGGCAGTGTGGAAGATGGATTGTGGAAGGGATGGGAAAGAGCAAGACCCAAGGCAAAAAGACTTTAGGAGGCAATTGCAAAAATTTAGGTAAGACAGGACAACTGACTTAGTCTCTTCAACAAGGGAGGTGACTGTTTTAGTTTCAAAGAGACAAACAACTGCATGCAAAGTGTAGATCTTGTTTGGATCCTCATTCAAATAGATAAACTGTAAAAACAAAATCTGGGGGATAAACAGTGCTAGATGACTCTAAGGAATTGTGGTTAATTTTGTTAGGTATCATAATGCTATTGTGGTAATAAAATAAAACAGCATACTGAAGTGTTTCTAGGTAAGATGTCATGATATCTGGATTTGCTCTCAAATATTTTAGAAAAAAGAAGATGAAGTAACTATGGCAAAATGATTACATTTAAATGTTTAATTATTAATTTATAACTAATAATTAAAGTCAATTGATAGATATGTGTTGTTGTTGTTGTTATGTGCCGTCGAGTCAAACCCGACTCATAGCGACCCCTCCTTGGGTTTCCGAGGCAGTATCACTATGGAAGTAGGATTGCCCAACCTTCCTTCCGAGGAGTGGCTGGTGGGTTTGAACCGTCAGCCGTCTGGTTAGCAGGCAAGTGTCTTAGCCACTATGCTACCAGAGCTCCCGATAGATATGTAGGGGTTCCTTATTCTCTAAATACATTTGAAATTTTTCAAAATAAAAAGTTAAAAATTTAGGTACAAGACACTGAGGTCCTAAATGAAAAAAGCTGTAATGAAAATGTAGAAGAGACAATTATGAGAAATAGTGAAAAAGCAGAATGAACAAAACTCAAAAATTAGCTCTTTTGCAACCTGTGGGACATACAAATATCACTTACATTTCTCAGCCCTGGGGTTTCTTGGAAGGCTTTTTTTCCACGTACGGTACATGCTGGCACTGGGGCAGCGACTTATGTAACTATAACCAGGAGGAAGTTCGTTGGCAACATATTGCTGTGTTGAAAGGTTATTGTATAAGGTGGTACATCCTGGAGGAGTGACCACAAAACACTTTTCTCTTTGGGCTTCTGTACAGTGAGATAAGCCTTGAAAGTATTTTCTGTTTACTGTGTGTTACTGGGAAGGTGTGGTGTTCAGGCTTAGGTAATATTCAAGTGATTTTTTTTTTTTTACCAAGCCTCATCCCACCTATCCTACTACCAGAGTCCATGGGGCCATATGTGTCCCACATAATACTCATCAAAATCCATCATACATAATAGAATTTTAAAAACAGCCAATGATTCACCATGTATTCCATTACACACACACACAAATCTTACAAATAAAAATAATTCTGTAATGAAAGGATTACATATGGTGCTTGAAAGAGAAAAGTTGAAGTGACTTTCAGGCTTTTGGTTGGGCACTTGTGTAGATGGGAAAGAGCTGACTCTTTAGTGCACGTTGAATTGGAGTGTTCCAGTGAAACACTGACATAGTGCTGCCCGGGAGGCAGTTGGATGCAGAGATTTAGTGCTTAGGAGATCTGGATTTGTGTGTGATCAGTTCAAAACACATTAAGTAGTGATTAAAACCATTAGAAGGGCAGGAACATGAGAAGGGAAGATGGCTGAGGAAGAATCCCAAGGCACATTTACATTAAAGGAGTGGGGAAAGGAAAAGCCTACAAAAGAGACTGAGAAGAATGCCAGAGGGCCTGAACCAAGAGCACTTTGCCCTCCCTAATGCTTCCCATTTTACAAATGAAAGAAGTATCTGAAAATAAAGAATATGCAAAAAAAAAAAAAAAAAAAGTATATTAAATAGAACTTTATTCCCTTTCCTCCTTTAACTAAAATTTTTATATGATGATTTATAAAGTCATCACGATATCCTGACTCTACTCTTCCTGAATTGTTTCTTGTCACCCCAGTGTCCCTTCCTCTTCTGGAAAGAGGCCCAATTTTCTGCTCTGGGTCTTGTGATCTGGCGGGAGTCTCACTCCACCCCTAGCATATCCCATTCCTCTGGCCTCAGTGATTGGTTTAGGGTGAGCATGTGTTCTTAGTCTTTCCAGTAATTGGAATAAATCTGAAGACTTTCTCCAGAGGTACTGGAAGGGAAATGCTGTCTGCTGGACATGGAGTTACTAGGATGCAGAACTACTATAGCCATTCTGACTACAAGGGGCAAAGCCTGCTTGAGAATAAAGCCAGTATTTGGAGGAGAACACAGCCAAACAGAAAGATGGAGAGAAACAGGGTCCTGCTGATAGAAACAGAGTTTCTGCTTGAAAGGGAAGAGTATTGCTTGCCAGTTGGTGTTGGGTTTTCTGTCATTTGCAACAAAAACATCTTAACTTAGCTATGGGTACCTAGTACATTACTTGGCATATGAGACTATTAAATAAATGTGTGTTTAATAGATAAATGAGCACATTATTGTAAAGAACAGCAATTATTTATTTCTATAGGGCAATTTGTCAATCTAAAGGTTTTTTTTTTTTTAAGAGTTCAGCTTTTTATTGGACAAGTTACAAAAGGGGTTTAGTCAAAAAGACCCAAGCCCATGTCATCATTGGACTCTTCAGATTCTTCCTTCTTTGCTTCCACTTTCTTCTCCTCGGCTGGGACAGTGGTGGTGGAGAGGGCACGTCCTCCCACTGGCGCAGCACCAGCTGCTGGGGCAGGCTCACCAGCCCCAACACTGCAGATGAGGCTCCGATATCGACGATGGCTAGGCCTGAAAGGTTCAACATTTACATCTGCTGCTTTAATGAGGGCGTTGATTTTATCCTCTGTGACTGTCACGTCATCATCGTGCAGTATGAGGGCCTATGAGGGCCAAGTAGATGCAGGTGAGCTGGGAAACGGAGGCCATGGTACAGGAATGCTAGTCTGCCGGCTGCCAGGTACAGTACTAGTAGTGGATAAAGTGAGAGCCTCACCCAACACTGCCTTAGTTTCCTCTGAAAAACCAAC